GTTACGAGGAAAAGGAATTACAAGGTTAAAGTTACGAGGTTTAGTTTAAGGGTGTTTGTGTGGAACTTGTGAAAAAACCGAGGAGGCGTTCCATGGATTTATCAGGTGGTGTCGTAGGCCATTAGGTACAAAATTAATAAAAATCTCAAAAAATACAAGGTTTTGTCACCCCACCAACGATATTTATCTGATACGATACACAGGCAGAAGTATTTCACTCATATACAAACTAAACAAGGCAAGTCATATACATTTCAATTTATCGTTCATGAATATTTATTTCAGACTACATGATATACACTCGTGTCCTTCAAAATAATAATAATAACAAAAAGAGAACAAAGAAAGAAGAAAAAGAAAGTACAATTCAAGCATATTCTTATGTCTACTCAAATGTACAAACAATACAAATTTTACACATAAATAAAAGAAATTGTTTGAATATATTTGACAATTGGTTTAATTACAATGAAAATGAAACATAACCCTGTCTATAGTGTAAGTCTACATAATGCTCAAAAGTGAAATACAAAAATGACTTAATACATGTATGGGCCACAGATGGTTCAGGCTATAAATATTAGAGCCATAAAGAAGGATATTTGGAACCATTTCTCCATTTACTGCGGCCATTTTGTCATGGATTTTTCAACAGAGTATAAACATATTTGTATTAATATATATTTGTGTTGTATTTATAATATAAACAAGTGAATAAGTTAAGGAGACATTCCAACATGTTACAAATATCAATATACAAAATACAAAATGGTGATTACAATTTACACATTTTCATCAAAACCTGTAGTAGAAATCCCCCTCCAAGAGATTTCAAATTGCCCATAAATATAAGATGGATTGTTGGGGGAAAAGGATAGGAAAAAGAATAAGTTTTGCCAGATATTTTTAAGGTGTTGCTATCATTTTTTTTAAAGAAAAAAATTATTTGCAAAAATGGATATGCTTGGGACCGGTCCCATATGATTCCAAACTAAAATCTGAGGAAAAGGTATTGGATGATGGTGATGAAAGCAATAGATTCAAATGTTACCGATACAGAAGTATTGGTGATATGATATGCACTTCATTTGTATCGTTATAAAAAGAAATTCAGCCTTCATCAAATTTAGATACCGGTATTAAAACTGCCCATTTGCATTCCTGTTGGTTTGTAAATATCTTGGACATCAACATAATAACTGATATAAAGAAGGGAGCTCATTTCTAAACTTAAACACAGAGTTTGACACTCTTTTAGCTGTGAACAGACGATACATCAACCATTGTCTTCAACCATTTGCTATGTGAAGTCATAAAATTAGTACCAGTACATGAAAGCAACCAAAAGATAAACTAAATTTGTTGCATATGATCGTTACATGTATGTGTCCACCCACAATCATGTGCCATGATTTTATTAATGTTATCACAACAAAGCCTTTGAGTGACAAAACATTAGTTTGCTTGCAATTTCACAATTTGATGTATTTCCTGTATTTAGGGTTTAAAGTCCATATTCAGGTTTGGTGGCCTGATGAGACTTTTCTTCTAGCGATTCTATGCTACTGTGAAGTGTGTTTTTCTTTTTCTTTCAGGGTGGGGGGGGGGGGGGGGGGGTCATCAACTTCATTGGAGTATAAAACAAATGAGAGGTAAAACATGATTTAATCCTGGGCGCAAAAGGGCACTGACAATAAAGGTACATTTATATGATAGCCTCTGAGCATATTACATATAGCACAATGAAAAGAGAATGACCACACCTAAATCAATCTCAGATTCCTTTCCTCTTCTCGAGAGAAATACAAAATACAATATAGAAAAATATAAATTAATAGAAAGAATAAAAAAATGAGAGATTAAAGGAAGAGAGAGAGAGAGAGAGAGAGATAATGAAAGGCAGAAAATAACAAGAAGAGATACTAAGACATAGATTGAGAGAGAAAGGATCACAAGGGTTGCGATAAAAAAGTAGTGCAAAATATTTGTAAAATAAGCAACACTTACTTTACACACCAAAATATGATAAATTTCAAATTTGTAAACAACGTGATTGCCAAACAGAGCATACACAGTAAAAACTTGTTTGAATTGAGCAAAATAACATATGTATGTTCAATACTGGTTTGATCTTAATTATAAAGTCAGCAACTCTAAATGCACCTGTATATAACATAAAACATGTGCTAAATATATCCACATGCTTCCCGCCAGCAGAATTTATAGCTTTCCAAGCAATCAATACTTCATGAACTAAATCGCCATTCTTATGCTTCCTCAAAACACATCCAGTCGCCTGAAACTGGCCTGGCTACAGCTTAATTTTTCAGCCACACTCAGAATTCACTCCTCAGGTGAACAAAAAAAAATGAGAAGAACAAAATTAGTGTTCCTATTAACATGTCGTTAATCTAATTATAGTTATTAATGTTTTGTCTTCCAATATGGATTCAATGAAACACTATTAATGGCAATTTGTCAGGTTGTATATCAATACATGAATGATGTTTGTGGACATTAAAATGAATGCTCCCTTAAAAATATACAAAACACAATTCAACTACCGGTATTAAAGAGAAACAATAACAATCTTTCAGCACATACCAGCAGAATTTCTGTTGACGTACACGCCGGCTCAAATTTCACAAACCGGTAAGAATATTTAGGTATTGTAATAACCAAATGCTTTGTCCTACATTCATGTAATCAAGACGTTTTTTCTCTCAACCTGTATATGACAAAATCATTTTCTGGTATGGGCAAGTTAGCTGGAATACAATAATGTAATCACATGAAGTTGACAATGTTTTTAATACAGGTTTGTGATGGTAAACTAAACGCACTTATTGAGACCGTGCCTTAATTCTCATCCATTGCTGTTTGCTTGTGGAACTCACTCCTGTGAGTCCCTTCTTCTTTTTATGAGATTGATGGTCTAGAACACTTCATATCCTGCCTTAAAACTTTGACCTATTTCATCAGAGGAGCCTGCACCTTTGAATTATTATTGTTTAAAATATGACAAGAAATATAACAAGAAAGTTAAACTTACAATCAAACAACGGGGAAAACATTTCAGTAAATAAAATTTCAACTCTGAACGCAGCTCAACATAAGGCAGATGTAAGGAAAAAACAACAAAATTGTCCTTCGCTCAACATTTCAAAACAAACTAACCCTTTGCAAGCTTTCCTTCACAACAAACACAGAACATCTGCTTGGAGCACTCAATGAATAATTGTTCCTTCATACAAATGGTACGATTCCTTTTGAATAATGCCCTTTTGAATCTGTACTCATCTTTTCACACCAAGTTCTACATTGTAAGAGATTCATCATGAAGAGTAAAAATATTCTTATGATTGATTGGAATACAAAATCTGGTTTGGCTAGAGATTATACAGCTATACATGTAGGTGGTGTCAGATACATTAAGGGTCACTTCACACCTGTATTTTGAACGGCTAACATAAGCAGAGGTTCCCTTTACATCCGCACTTGAGATGCAATTATTTGTCGAATACTAATTTCTTCAATAAATTATTACATGGTTAGTATTGCGTTGCTTTCTTAAAGGGTCACTTCACACCTGTATTCTTTTATATTGTTTGTTCAAAAGAAAGGAATTTGGGTAACACAAGCCGAGAGAGAGACAAAGATTGCCTTGCCTATATAATCCTTGTAAAAGATCCTTTTCTTGTGTCTCTCTTTATAGGAACGCTGATAGTCTTTTCATCCTATGGGAAATCTTAAGCTCACACTAATTAACTACAAACCAAGCATAAACTGCACATACCACTATCAAAACCCCAAAATAATGCACACTGAATGGGGCATCCAAATAGCAAATTACTTAATCTTTTCAAAGCAAATACAGTTGCACAACTTACAGAGATGGCATTGGGTATTCTTTTCTTCTTATGAAAAGGTTGGATCCAAACTATCCAGTAACTTTTTCCTTACAGCTTACATTTCTACAACCATTCAACAACTCAGCAAATATTTAAAAAGTATTTTTAAAAGAGTGTTTTTTTAAAGTGTATAAGTGATTCGAACCAGTGTCAAATAAATTCCAATATCAAAATCTTATGCAGAGCTTCACTACCAAAATCATAGCTCTTGACTTCCCCCGAAGGTTGGAGAGGCAAGCTTGCCTGACATGGCAACAGTTAAGCATGTGACTTGATTTCAAAGATTTTGCAATAAAGGAAAGTTGAATCAAGCAAATGAAAGAATTTATCACTTGGCGATGGAGCATCCTAAATTCAAATATATTTGTGAACTGGTATATTTAATTGGCATCCATACAAAAAAAAAGGGAATAGTTTTCCTTTTCACTCACACCCTCTCTTTCATATAAACATTTGTGCTAACATCAACTCTGCCACATGTGATCCTAACACAAGTTACTGAAAAATCGAATTGAACACAGCCTCTTCTCACTACTAATATCCAGCTATTCCCTGCACAACCACACTATGAGATAGGGCACCAGTCTGAATACTGCATGGTAATAAAGGGGTGACATTACTAAGATATCAGATGAGTGTTGGACCCATTTATTTTATTTCTCTTTGCATATCCCACCTCTCTTTCTTCTCTTATGAACATTTCTCCCCTTTCCGTTCTTCTTTGCACTGTCTGTGAGCAAACGATGGCCAACCAGAAACATGACAAGGTGGAGAAGGTGCACATGATGATCTTTAATCACAAAATGTGACTGAATAACCTCTTGGTTGGTGTCTAGCTGTGCAGTGCTCCGTAGATAGTAGATATAATCCCATCTTGTCTTTCTCTTGCAATCCTTGCAACAGTCTTGAGCTGGCTACAGATGATGGTGCACATGATTTTACAGATCAGATTGGAGAGTCCTTCGTAAATATCCTCAAGGCTCTTCGCTGCCTGTTCAAGATAACTGCAAGATAACTGCACTCCTAATCCAGGCAATCCGTACTTCTGTTACATTCCTATTCATAACAACAAACTCCGTTCGGTGAAGATGGTGCAGTGCACATGATTTTACAGGTCAGGTTGGAGAGTCCTTCATGAATATCTTCAAAGCTCTTCGCTGCCTGTTTGCTGCCTATCCATAGATAACTGCACTCCTAATCCAGCCATTTCCTACTTCCGTTGCACTCCAATTCATAACAACAAACCCCAATCAGTGAAGATGGTGCACATAATACTAAAGCAGTTCTGTGGAAAGATCAGTCATCTCATTCGCCGGTGAAGCCACACGTCTCCTCGATAGCACACGTCAGTTTGTCAAAGAACTTGGAGTAATTCTCATACGGTGGGAGGTCAAGGCGGTTAAAGCTGAAAGAGAAGACCAAAAAGCATGTAAAGAAACACTGCATTCACCTAGGGTAGAGCATTGGATAACCGTATTGTTGTTAGAATGATCCCAATCATAAATAATGTTTTCACTGGAGTTATTACCATTAACATTCTCCATCATCATCATCACATATATCATCAGTAAGGCATCATATATCTGTATGAACTAGTGTACTAATCAATTCCACTATCATTACGTACATTATACCTATAGTCGTTTCATTATGACAATTTCTAATCCTTATATACAGTCAAACCTGCTTTAGTGACCACCTGTCTACAAAGACCACATTTTTTATTTTCCTTTAAAATGGTTTCTCATTGAAACATGTACTAAAAGAACCTGTCTACAAAGACCACTTTTTCCCTTGGGCGGTCGCTATAGACAGGTTTGACTGTAGTACAACAGAAGCAGCAATGCATCTGTGAGAGATAATACACAAGTATTTAGACGAGCATTATGGTTTCATCATTTCATCTTACATGGTATATTATGTAGTATTGTTTGGTTTTGTTTTGTGAGCCATGTCTAAAATGAGAGTTTACATTGCATTCTGAACCAGGGCCCCGTTGCACAAAACTTACCATTGATGGTAACTTTGCCATCAATGGCAACTACCATGGAAACCTTGATTTTGATTGGCTGTTGAGCCCTGTTACCATGGTAGTTGCCATTGATGGCAAAGTTACTATCAATGGTAAGTTTTATGCAACGAGCCTAGATTCTCTTTGAAGTGCTGTTAATTCAAGGTACTTACCACGTGTGTGCCTTGGGTAACAGGTCAGTGTTGGCATCTATTTGATGAATGGTGAACAGACGTGGACTCAACGCACCGGTAGAACCTAATCAACAAGTGGATACGGACAAATGAAATCAATTAATGTTCAAAAGGAAAGATGAACTTTTTTAATAGAGAGGGCATTTTCTGCAGATATTTGAACAAAAACTTACAGATTGAAGAAATTCAACAATGGTAAACGAGTCACTAATCAGACGTCTTGATGTAACAGGGTTTATCTCCTTACAACAGCTTTAAAACATCTAATATAAAACAACCTATCATACAATACTGACTGCTGGGAACCAGAAAGGTGTTGACTAGTATTTCTAATTCTCTTCTGACTCTCAGATGATGATACACATTAGTCCTTACCAACCTCCTTGATAAATGTTTCAAAAGTTGCCTAATTCAATACTAATTGTGACAAACAAAACAGAGTCCAGAAACGTATTATTTACAAACGAAACTCACCCTGCAGGGCCTTGAAACCTTCCAAAGGCACCTTGGACGTTCCAGTAACAAACTGAAGCAATCTCGCCCTCTTCTCCTCATCAAACGAATCCACCGCCTGCCAGAACCACTGGACAATGGCCGTCTCCAGCGAACAGTTCTTGAGCCTGGTGTTGTTCTTCCAGTCCTCGACGTCGATCTTACCGAGGCCATTGATGAGGAGCTCCAGCTCGCGCTCGTCAAACGGTTTGAGGAGCCTCGGCGGGATGAGCTCATGGAAGCCCTTCTGGAGAGCCAGGAACTGGGGCTCGATGCCACGCAAGAAACGCCATTGCACAAACAATCTGGTAGATGAAGGTTAAGTCAGAAATAAAATGTTTTTTAATTTAGATTGTTTAGACATCTAAAGTTTTACAACGTGATACTTGGGACACAATTCATCAATCCTTTACAAGAGAGATTTCAGGGCACCAATGGTACAGACACTGATTGAATATTCAAGGAACTCATGTGAAGCAGTTATTGTGAAGCATACGCTAAGAACTACTCGACAGTGTTCCCCCATGATCAGCCCTTAGCAGGAAGGAACAAGAGAAAAGATGCTCTCCACCAGGTATTGTCAGATGCTGGATGTGTGTACCAGGAAGCTCTTGGTTGGGAGAGACCCGGATACTTCACACCAGAAGGGAAAGCAGAGATCAGAGAGTATGATTACTATGGGAGCTATGGCCATGAAGCCCATAAGGACTATGCCTATAACGACAGACTGAGAGACGACTTGTAAGCGATTATTTTGCGATTATTTTGTGCCGTGTTTGTGCCATCGAACTGGATCGACCAAATCAATTGATTCACAATATATGTATATGCAATATTTTTTCCCGTAACATGAGAGTAATTTTAATAGTTTCATACTATTAATTAAATGTATTGTTAACTGTAACTGTATAATTGTTTTAAATGGGGGCACGCTACAAGAGTCCTATCTCGCACCCCGGGGCAACGTGTCTGACACGGCCGGTTGTAGCAACTACTCCGAAGATCAAGATTACAGTAATCTTGATCTAAGGAGACACGAACTAACGATTGTGAAGAACAAAAAGTGATGATTTGCGATTGTTCATGACATGCTTGTGAGGCTCCAATCAGAGATTTTTGTTTAAATGATAATCCCTTTCAAAGATTTGTGGCTTTTCCCTTCTATAAAATGATATTTCCTAAAAACCATCATATAATCATTCATTTCTATTAGGAAAGATGAATGATAACAGAGGGATTGAAATATATTTGTCATTATTCAATGAAAGAGATATAAACAAAAATTGACAAACAGGGGTCACAAGGAAATTGTAATTTCCCAATATTGTGCATTAAAAAACACATACAAAAGCAGACACAAGATCCACAAAATGTTTGTTCTCTAGCAACTGAGAAACAGCACACACAGTGACAATATTTTTCATCTTGGTATAATTGAATGCTTGAACTTCTAAGAGTGCAACTCAAATGCATATCTAGATCAAAGAATGCAGACTGGTTTCTCGTTAAGTTCTTTAATACTAACTTGACATATTTCTTCTTATTTTCCTCTGTGACTGGGATGTCGATCCCATTGGGCTTGAGTTCATGGATCTGCATTTGACCGAATGAGTTGTGTTCCACTGCAAACGTGTTCTCCAATATACCGGTGATGTCATTCTCTCTGTTGGGTACAAATTTGATCATGAAAGAGATTAGTTCACAGATATAAAAAAGACTTATTTTCAGCATCACAGATATCTGAAATGATAAATGTTGAGACAAGGTACTGTATTGAATCAAATTGACGAAACTTCTGGAGCTGATTATATTAAAAGGCATAAAGTGGCCACTCTCCATGTTTACAGTGGGACTGTAGTCCTTGTAGCTACTTGCGCCCTCTATATAGCAAACAATGCCTAAGTGGTACCCGTTGGTCCCCCATGATTCCCTTTTTCGTATGTCAATTGAGAGCTGATTTAATGAGATAACCACTTGCCAGTGACTACGTAGGGAGGTCTAATCCCTCCCGGCCAAACTAGTGCAGATAGGCTTTAAAGGATATATGGATACTTGGTGTCATTCACAGCATATGCTAACTTTAAACTGGTTTATTGAAGAATTCTACAGTAACAGGTGTTATAGTCACTAGACTGGGAATGCAAAGGTCATGGGTTCAAGCCCTGCTTTCATACTTTGTGCTTGAGCAAGGAATTTGATCTCTAATGCTCCTCTCCACCAAGGAATTCAATAGTAGGATGTGAAATCAATGTGACTGGTTTAGCACAGGGAGATACTTTGTGTGGTATGTATATAAAGAGTTTATGAGAACTCACAGTATCCAGACCAGACTTCTGTAGACCTCAGGGTCTACGGTCTCCATGTCCTCGAGACTGACTGGCTTTCCAAGAAGCTGCTTGTAGAACGGCATGGTGAACCCTCCATCTATGTAGTGACCATGGAAGATGGCAAGACCGATCACTCGTCCCACAAAATGGAAGTAGGACAGATGTTCCTGGAGGGGAGGAGATGGGGAGATGTTTGAAGTAATATCGTAAGGATGTGATTCCTAGCTTGGGTATTAGATGCTTTACAATCATGTAGATGTATCATGATTATATATTCATCATCTTTTTCATCATCTTCATCATCATTAACATCCACATTGTAATCATCACGACCATCACCAGTATCATTACAATCGCCACTATTATTATCATCATCATCATCAGCATTACCATAATCATCATCACCATCACCCCACCATCATTATCACCACAACATCATCACCAGTATCATCATCATCATCACCAGTATCATCATCATCATCACCAGTATCATCATCATCATCACCATTACTAATCATCATCATCACCATCATCATCATCATCATCATCATCATCATCATCATCATCATCATCATCACCACCACCACTAGCATCATCATCACCACCGCCATTACCACTTCCACCGTCACTACCACAACACCAACACCCCTACCATCACCACAACCATCATCATCTTCATTTCCTTAAGAACCACCTTCATCTCCATCACCATAACTACCACCATCATCATCTTCATCATCCCCACCATCACGATTAGAATCACCATCACCGCCACCGCCACCGCCACCACCACCACCGCCACTACTAGGTCTACCATCATCATCTTTTTTAATCTTACTGGATTGACTCCTGAGTCTGGGTTGATCTGTAATGTATAGATGTCATCCCTGGAGTACTGGAAGAGGCCATAGTAAGGGTTGAGCATCTCATGAGAGAGGAGGTAGAGCCACTCCCTGGTGATGCCCCCGTAGTCAAGACCCTCCTCAGACTTGAACTTGATGGCCAAACGTTTCCTCAGGTCCTTCGGTTTCAGCTTCATGATCTGACGGTAAGATTCCTGGGATAAAATGAACATAAAAAGACAGGGTGATTATATTGTCATATTTTTTTATCAGCGATTCATGGAAAGAAAAATCTACCTGATTTTCCTCTGATGGATTTTCAAAATTCCAGGACCATTGTTTCAACCTAAAGGCAGCATCTTTTACACTTAATAGTCTCAACTGGATAAGCTGTTTGAACTTGATACAAAATGATAGAACATAGCCATAATTCTAAACTTGTTTTTCAGGTTTTCCCTAATTTCCAGGATACATGGGAATCTCTGATAATAAAAATATTTTCTTAACAACACTACTTAAACATGGCCTTAGGTTCTGCATCTTGTAAAACGATATATTGTTGCAAACAATATATTGAAATATAGATTTGAATGAAGTAGACAATGAACTACATAAAGACTATCAATTAGGTTGGTCAAATTTGTTTAACTTTGAAATACGACTACATTTTCTTCTGAGGATAGTCAATAACTTCTTCAACAAAGTACAGGACTCCCTCTTCATCATGTACCAACTCAAGGAAGCTGGTAATTTTCTATTAAACAGATAATGAACTAACCTCAAAGATGTTTTCCCTTCCGACCTCTATCCTACAGTGTCCTGTCTGAGGTTGGACCGTCGCTAGCTCTGCATGTAGTAACTTCATCTTCTGGACCAGGTCCCGCTTGTACTTTGGTACCGGCGAGGAGTCTGTATTGCCGTTTTGCCTGAGGGAAGGGGAATGCGATGTTATATATACAGTCAAACCTACTTTAGTGACCACCTGTCTACAAAGACCACCTTGTCTACAAAGGCAACATTTGTTGTTTCCCTTGAAAATTGTTTCTCATTGAATCATGTACTAAAGGAATCTGTCTACAAAGACCACCTGTCTACAAAGGCCACTTTTAGTGTTTACCTTGGGCGGTCGCTGTAGACAGGTTTGACTGTATGTCTATTCAGTAAGGCATTCATAGTTAGAGAATTTTTTATTTATAACTGACCAACGTTACAAGAAATTTCTTCTCTGCTAAAATGGCTAATTGATAATACATCTCACTGTGATGATAGAGAATAAGACACAGGAATGCAAGAGCCTATAGTGTTAAGTTCCGTTCAAAACATGCTAAATGATTTGACCCTCTCTCTCTTGACGATGGTGTAAAAGAGCAAAATCATGACTGAGATTTTTCAACAATAACAACAAATCCTTGCAAACTAATGTATTTTATTGTGTGATTTGTCAACATACGTGGAACTGCAACATTATCCCAAAATTTCAATGATACTGTAGGACCCATAAAAAATCACAATAAGAACTAGTTAAGTTGTTGGGCTCTATGGTTTCTGGGCACCACTTAATATAAGTATACATATTTGAAGAAGAAAAAAAAAAAAGTCAAAAAAAAAATAAATCAAAAATTAACCAAAACGATCATACTTACTTGGACATTGCTCTGTTGATGATCTGTGCGTCCAGCCTAGGATCTGTGAACTGCGTAGTCCTGTTGTTATGGTCCACGTAGTAGACCCTTCCAGTAGCCGTGTGTCTCGTCTCCCAACCAGGAGGGAGCCCTCCAAGGTCAGCCTCGTTGATGTGAAGGTCACGGGGGAGTCGGGGGTCGTGCCACGTACTGTCCCCCGAGCTGGTGTCTAAGAAGTAGACCTGGCCTTGTGCGGTCGTCCGTTGTTCTGGAAAGAAGAGAAAGATGGAACTTTTGTGATTCAAATATCCTTAAAGAGAAGGTAGAGTTCTGGGAAGGAGGTGAAAAATAATTTGAGAGCATTATCATTGTTATTATGCAAGAGTGGAAGAACATCAGATAAAAAGTGTTCCCTGAAAAGCATGGCTCTTCAAATACCTTAATATTCTAAATATGGCATGTAAAAGCATGAAAATCGGGACAGATTTTTATGCCACATGTTCCTGTAGTCCCATATACATATTTCTGTGTACAGTGCTTGTAACTTAACCAAGACTGGGCCAAATTTCTTATCATTTTGATGATTCCAGAACCTTGCAGTACACACCAATACTTATGCTAGATGATCAAACTTTTCTGATTGATTCCACACTGTTTCTTTCACATTGCAATCACATGACCAGAACTCAACTTCATCTTTAAGAATGAATTCCATAGATGTATTTTCATGAGGAAGTTATTTTTGTTGGCTTTTATCTATGCTTTAAAATAAAGTTTTTGTGTTGCTAACATGCATTCTACTAAATGTAGAGGGTGGATCAATTCACAAAATCTATATCATTATACTATGACTTATAACACCATAGGACATTACCTCCTCAGCTGTGTGGTACAGGCAAACCTGCTTTAGTGACCACATTTTTGGTTTCCCTTTTGAATGGTTTCTCATTGAAAATGTACTAAAGGAACCTGTCTACAAAGACCCCTTTTGTGCTTCCCTTGAGCGGTCGCTATAGACAGGTTTGACTATATATATTTTTCCAATATCTTACAGTTCCAGTTCGGGAAGACTCTTTAAATGTACTATGTACAGTCTACACAGGAGACTACTACTAACCTTCAAGATTTTCACTAATAAATATAGAGATTAAAGTAGAAAAATAAGCAACCAATGTCTCTTTTGCAGATAGGTGTAACTCGAGAAACGTGTATAAAATACCCTAGAACCTGGTGGCCAAAAACTCAAACAATTAAATGATCAAACATATCTGTTCCCCATTATACAAGTGAATCCCCATATGAATAGCAATAGTAATGACGCACATCACATGAGCCACATGCAGGCAGACTGGATGTGTTGATTTTGATCAGGCTCCAGACAAGCATATTTAAACAGCTGTCTTTAATTAGCCCTGGTGTGTGTTTCACAAAGACTAAGATCGATTTTAAGTTAGACTTAAATATGGCAAGCCGTTCATGCCTCTGGTTGCTCTCACTATTGGTCTCTCACTTATGATCTTAAGATTTATTTCCTTCAATAATGAACTATCAAAAATTGTGAATTCTATAGATTTGAGACCACGATTTATACGTCCCTTCAGAGACCAATACCAGTAAATGATGAAAGCAAACAGTGGCATGAACTGCCAACTCAAGTCCAACTCAAATTCGATCTTAGTCTTTGTGAAACACCCCCCTGATCAAGTAGCGACAGAAAAATGTCTCTCACCATATCCCTCGGGTAGATCGATGACTCTATGCAGCGTTGATCGATTCATGTAGTTCCTCATCCTAGATGTTGCCCTCCTGGTGTACTTGTTCTGCTCTTCCGATGGTGCAGGCCCCCCGTGCCGACTGGACGCCCCCGGCCGCACCCCTTCGTGACCCTCGCCACTTCCCCCTCCCCCTCCCCCTCTGTCGCCATGACTCGTTCCTCTATGATGAGGTTGAGATGAGGTTGAGGAGGTGGAGGAGTGGTGATGGTGGTTGTTATGGTGACCGTTGGCATGGGTGGACGTCCGTGATGAGGGTGCTTGGGATTGGGTGCACTCCACTGCAGGCCTGGGTTTGGGTGTGGGGGGGGGGGGGGGGTTGTAAGAAAAGAACAAAAAAGAAGGCATGCTACATCTATGTCATATTATCATCAATATTATGTCAAGCCTGTCTTTAAAGGCCATCCAAGTGAGATCTCACATTGGCCACTACAGACAGGTTGCACGCCCCCTTCTTCTGTGTTGGTGTTCTCTCTCTCTCTCTCTCTCTCTCTCTCTCTCTCCATCTCCTTTTCTCTCTCATCACAATGACATAGGCACTTTGTAGTATCCCCATTTGAATCCATTCCCCCCTAAGATTTGTGAGAATCAAAGTAACGGTGCATCAAGACCTGTCATAATGTAAAACTACTTCAAAATTATTGGTCATTGCATAGGGGCAAGCAATATTCATTGTCACATTGCATCAAATCTATACTGCATATCGACCTTCCATTCATGCTGTAACAATTACAAAGCAATTCCCCAATGAAAATTTATTCCTTGAATTCTCAGTTTCAAAACTTATTATAGGTCTTCATAACAGAAGAAATGCATTTTTGCAACTCACACCAAAACATGGAAATTCACATATTTACACGCATGACGAGGAATTTCCATTTTGTACACCCAATCACATTTGACAGCCTGGGAATACCAAAGAAATTAGCCATCTCTTCTAATTTCTTACAGACGCTTCGATTTGGCACTGAACCGGGTCTCTAAACATCTATCCCTCCCAATCTCGTTTCCATATCGCATTTCTTGGCTAACCGCAGCGAATTCACCCGGGACGTTGTTTGAATTGTAGAGGAAAGTGGGGAGTTAAGGTGGAAATGGTAAGGAAGTAGAGTGTGTGACTACGGCTTAAGGGATGCGGTCGTTAAGCTTACGCAGGTTACTAACATTGTGCATGTAGGTTAGACACCAGGGGCGTGTTTCACAAAGATTAAGATCAACTTTAAGTTGGACTTAACTATGGCAGGCTGTTCATGCCACTATTTTCTCTCATCATTTACTGGCATTGGTTTCTCAAGGGACATACCAATCGTTGTCAAATATCTACAGAATTTACATTCTTTGATACTTCATTATTGTAGGAAAACATATTATCTAAAGATTATAATTGAGAGACCATTGGTAAGAGCAACTGGTGGCATGAACGGCCTGCCATAGTTAAGTCCAACTTAAAGTCGATCTTAGTCTTTGTGAAACACTCCCCAGGTGGGAATGGCCGTGATGACTGGGACTGTCTTCATGAGCCAGAGCTTTCAAAATGGCCTGCTAAGTCTGATCCGAGGAAATTAGCCTGATCACCACTAAAGTAGCTCGAAATAGACAAGTTTCAAAACTAGCCTGATTCTAACTCGTTTACCAGCAGATCAATAACTAGCTCGAGCCAATCCAAAATGAGTAAATACCAAGCTATTCAACTTTGCACCTGGGATATGAGCTCAGGGTATTATCCAAAGCAAATGAGGGCTTCTTTATAAAGTAACCCACTATTTGGCCAATGGGAGGGCCAATTTGGTAGTGAAGATACACTAAGACTGTGAGATGCTCTGACGCTCAAGCTAATTCCTTAATTAAGCAGGAGATGGTGAACTCTGACTTCTTTTCTTGAGAAGCACTGATTGGTCTAATGTCTCAAGCTCAAACTTGTTTGGGCTATGGACCTTTTGGGTGGTATTTTCGAAAGCGGACTAACTTTAGTCCATGATTTAATCCATCGACTAAGTATGGAATGCCAAGTGTCCATGTCCTTAAATTACCATGATAACATAATTATATCATAGTTATATTGTTGTTTATTAATCATGTTATTACTTTTTATTTTAATTTGGTGAAAAATTTAATTATTCAAAAACATATTCATATGGACACTTGGCATTCCATACTTAGTCAGTGGATTAAACCATGGATTAAAGTTAGTCTGCTTTTGAGAATACCAACCTTTTTGTTTGGGATAGTGGAGTTGTGCCTACTGAGAAGGAAAAGTAGGACCACATCTCACCTTACAATATTTTTCATGAAAATTTGCCAAACGGTTCAGTTTTTGTCAACAAATCTTCGCACTGTGATTACAGTATGAAATAAGTGGAAACAGTCAATGACTACTTAAACTGATGCCAAGGAACACAGGAACATACGGATAGACAGGTAGGTATACAATGACATACAGGTAGTTGAACTTTCTACTAAAGTACTTGCTAAAGGTGGTTTGATAGCAAGAGGGAATACCTGTAGATGAAGACAAAGAATGGGATGATGTAGGAGGGAGAGATGACGACAAAACAGAAGAGACAGAGAAATAATCAATATGTGAGAAAGAGAAAGAGAAGGAGAAATGGAAAAAGAAAGAGAAAGAGAAAGAGAAAGAGAAAGAGAAAGAGAAAGAGAAAGAGAAAGAGAAAGAGAAAGAGAAAGAGATGAGTGAAACAGAAAGAAATGATATAAGAGGGAGGGATGACAAAAACAGAAGAGACAGAAAAAGAGAAGAGAGAGAGAGAGGGGGGGGGGAGAAGAGAGAGAGAGAGAGGGGGGGGGGGGGGAGAAAAAAAAAAGATAAAAGAGAAAAGATAAATGAAAAAGAGATACAAACAGACATACAGACACACTCTCACCTAGGCAGGCAGATATTTTAAAAACCTGAATCCTAAATGAGCGTCTTACCTTGTTGGCCTATCCCATTGTGTTGTTCTTGTGAGGTGATTGACATAGTAGACTCTACCTGAGGTTGACATACGCTCCTCCCACCTAATAGAGGAAAAGAAATACAAATAAACATGATGTACCTTACACAATATTCTAATAGAGACCCATTACCGGCATTTAAAGGGATTGGGTATCTTTGTCTCAGATTCTAATCAAAATCCTGGATTCAGCTCATGCTGCAATCATATTTATAAACATTTAGATCAGTCAGGAATCCAATGCCTTTTACAAGTTGATCGCCTCTCTGATTATCGAGATATTTATGATTGGAATTCAAAATTTCAAAAAACGTTTTCTCAACGGCTCTTTTACACTACAGTCTATTGGGGAAAATGAGTACAATGTATGGCAAAACTGGTCACTCAAAGATTTTTTACTTTTTTGTGGCACTTTTTTAGGGCTTCCATATTACACCATATCACAGACACTGATAACAATGCATCTCAGATTGGAAATTATTGAGGTATATTTACACCATACCAGGACGACATACAATGTGTCACAGTTTTCATACACTATCACAATACATCATTTTCCGATTATGATCTGATGTACAATACAAAATCATAAACACTTGCATAAGAAAAAGCATTTAGGTAAAAAAGGGATAAGCAAAACACAATTTTCGCAAGAAAACAAATTTTTAAATTCAAAATGTGCTATTAAAATATGATTAATTGCTTCTTGAAATATGTCCTATGCCAAGTAGTAGGAGACCCTAGTTGGTTATTTTTGTCCAGTCATTGCTTGCTTTTTCACATTTTCACATGTCTGCTTCAAAATACAGTGTACCATCAACAACTACTGAACCGCTATCGTTATAATTATCAGCCTTCTCCAATATCATCGGCTCAATCTTTCTCTGAAAGTCAGTCTGTCTGTCTGTCTGTCTGTATCTCTCCGTCTCCCTCTCTCGTCTCTCCATCTCTCACTCTCTCTCTCTCTCTCTCTCTCTCTCTCTCTCTCTCTCTCTATTTTGCTCATCTCCACCTATCTCCTTTCTTCCCCTGCCCTCTTTCTTCCCAATCCCTCTCTTTCTATCTCACTCTCACCTCTATCTCTTTACCTTCTCCATTTAATACCCTTACAACAAATGCTCCTTTTCCTCATATTCCCTTCTTTCACCTGTACCCGCACAGACAATACTCCCAACAATTATCATTAAAATGCTTGAATATAAACCCTATTAAATCTATTTAGACAAAATAATACAGGTCTGCATCCCTAATCATAAAAGAACAAAAAATATATATCCATTTCACATGCATAAACAAAATAATTCACTAAATTGTTCAATCGTCATTAGTTTTTCTATGGGGGTAATAAAATGTCTTTATTTTCGCAAGACCTTGTGCCTTTTTAATGGGTGTATAGGGATGGCACTATTCATTACCGATAACGACCAGACATGGACAATGAATATCCCAAGAATTCCTGTACAGTTGCAACTCCAATGTAAATAGTACACACTCAAAGTGCAGTGACAGATACATCTGGAGTCAGTTTAGCCAAATGAATACCACGATTGTCACAAGCTTTTTACCTCGGCTAAATGTGACCCTCTGCATCAAAATAAGACCAGAGTCACAGGATCGACAGTTTGAAGTTATTAATTTTAGCAGTAACATAATTACTTACACAATTTTGATTTAATATGTTTGAGGGATTACAATCAACAGCACATTGGCATACAAAGTGGAGATTCTTGCAGCAAAAATCTGACGGTGTGTTTTGTTTTGTTTTCTTTTCTTTTTTAGTTCACCAATATAGCATGACATGCAAGCAATACTAAAGATTTGAAGTCCTGCTGACACTGTAAAAAATAGTAGACAAAGCTTATGAAAACTGTACCCCATTCTGAACTATCCGGTTTTAATCATTTAATTTTCATCATAGTACAAAAAGTTTTTACAACTCAATAAATACACATAGTAAAAGTTCTCGAACAGTATACATGTATGCAGTGCAGTTGCCCTTCTTGAAAATGGCATCATCTCAACAAGTTAACAAAATTTCCAAGAAATTGTCTAGATGAGTAAGATGTTGTCTGTATGCGGTCATGTTATACTAGACATCTAGAACCGATGAGGTACGTCATATATTAACGATCACATGTGCTAGGATTTCTCATGGCGAGACCCAAATGTCTGATCCTTTGTTTTGATTTTGTTTTCTTATCTTTTTTTGTTTATTTATTTATTATTTATCATTATTATTATATTTTGTTTAATTTATTTAAATTTATTTTTTTATTTATTTATTTAATTATTTTTTAATTTATTTTTATTTATCATTATTATTATTATTTTTTTTTTCTAAAGGGGTGGGGGGGGGGGTGTGGGCGGGGGGTCATGGAGGTCCAGGGCATGCTTTATAGCTTGTCAGACTAAGTGGGAATTGACCCTCCTCCCCCACGATTTTTCATGTGTGACATTTCCTTTTTATGATTTTTTAATTTTTTATTGCACGTCTAAAATGTTTAGGAATTGGATCCTCACTTTTCTGCTGGATAACATTTTACATTTTGATTGTCACATTTTTAGGAAATGAACAAAATCCCCCCCCCCCCTATTTTGTTCAAACAAAATCACGAAGCCAACCTTTGTGTATGAATATCTTACAGGGTCAAAGTAAAAGTAGTTTGTCTTGTTTTACCAGAGCTCTGTTAACCCTTACTGTACTGGGGGGGGGGGGGGGGGGGGGGGGCCTGGGAGGCCCCCCCCCCTCGACATTTTTGGAGATCGCGCCGCAACCGCTCGGAATTTTGAATTGTCGTTTCATGACTTTTTTCCTTCAAGTCTTACGCACATTTTGATACCATTTTCATCGAAATCGGATATACCTGTAAGGTGTTACATAACAATTAGTATGCGCATGTCATCAAAAAAGTGCTATAATTGCATATATTCATGTACAAGCAGAAATGTGAAGATATGAATTGATATCAAATTGCTTTTATATGTTTCTCAAAGTAACTTGATGTATTTCAGAACAAAAGAATACATTAGAAATAAAACAATAGATATAATAACAAATAAAAAAACAATGAAATACATAAGAAAATAAAAAGTTGAAAATCGCATCAAATTTGCATAAATTATCATTATTAATTACATCAAATAACTATTTTTTGTGTTAGAAAAGAAGTTTCATATGAATAATGAATTTCAACATAACAAAAGTGGAGTCTGACAATTTTTGTAATGATTCTAGTTCCCTGTATATTACCAGATTAGATATTCATGAATGCGTAATTTGCGTATTCATAATTTATGCAAATTAACCTATGCATTTTCAAATATCATAAAAATAATGAAACCTCATGAATTTGAGATGAAGGAAACATTTATTCAATACATTTTCAAGATTCTTCACAAGTCTACGGACAAATATGTAGAGTTTTCTGTAAAATGCATAAAATTAGCATTTTGCATAATTAATTAGGCTATAATGACAAAAATTTGCATATTAGGAAAAAACTAATTATACCATCTTGTTCCTTACATAAATATCTACAATCATGCAAATTTTCGCGTTCATCGGACATTCGACGGCCGAGATCATGGGGGGGGGGGCCTCCGAGGCCCCCCCCCCCCCAGTCAGAGAGTGCTCGAAATAGCCCAGTACAGTAAGGGTTAAAAAAAATGCAAGAAGCCTAAAATACTTGTTTTACCTTAAACTTTCTAGTTTTCAAATCTTTTTTGATTTTATGGCATAAATTTCACTTATTGCTTGCAATATGAGAGACTTGAATACAATGCTTTACAGTACGATGACTTGCATATCGATGTATCTTTATTATCCTGAATCATAGAAAATTGTTCAAGCGCTCTTCAAAAGCGGTTGAAATGACGAAGATATTTCTCGGAAAGTGAAATAACCGCACAGGCGTCCAGTATGTCTGCTGTGTAATGCTACAGAATTACACATGTCCTGTTTTCTGCCTTAATTCTTTAAAAACCTTTAATGTGATATGTCAAATGTCTGGGCAAAAATCTAATTTCATCAAACTAAGGTACATGTATGAGCAGTTGTGATTTAGTCAGTTGGTTTCTTAGGACGGTCAAAACAGCAACTTGCCTACTCTTTTTCTCTTTTTTAACTCTTTTAATTTTTCTTCTCCAATTGTTTTTCTTTTTTTTCTCCAACTTCTTCTTCTTCTTCTCTTCCTCCTCTTCCCTCCCCCTCTCCCCCTCCCTCCCTCCCTCCCTACAGGGTGTACCTCTTCTTTTCTCTTTTTCATTCTTCTTCTTCTTCTTTCTTTTTCTCTCTTCTTTGTTTTTCTTTCTTCCTTTCTTTCCATCATCTTCTTCCTCCTCCTTCTTCTCCTCCTTCTCCTCCATCATCTTCCTCCGCCTCTCCTCCTCCTCGTCCTTTTCCTCCACCCCTTTCTTTCTTCTAGCAAGACATAACTAGGACCGCCCTTGATATGCTATTACAAACATACACCTCACTACACACACATACAAGTAGCAGCATAAGCCTGTCGATCCAAGTCCACTCATAAGCTAACCTTGCTGTCACTCGAACAGGTAGGGCAAGGACGTCCCAACTAATTACCCCATTCAGACATCAACAAATTTTCATACAGGTTTGGCTATTAAAATCAAAACTATACAGCTAGACGATAGGCATTTTTAAAATCTGAATCTTGTACATCGATACGTCATATAACGAGATAATGTATAGCGGAACGCATGTTTAAACATTGTTTCATATATAAAACTTGATAACAATCAGGAGCCTATTCTCATCAGAATGATGTATCACACAAAAATTGTATGATTGGGCGGGCTTATCTTGAATTTGCACTGATGATAGGCTAGTTGTCATGTTTAGGGAACTTATTTTACAAGGCCTTTCGGCCTTATTTTAGTTCCCCTTTTCTCATTGCATGTATTTTTTTGTATTGTATAATATTGTAATAATCTATTGTTTTTATATGAAGATGGAAATAAATAAATAATCAAGTTAACTGACATCTTCACAACCAAGTTTTTTTTAATAACAAGTTTCTTTTTACAAAGTTTCTTTGTGTTATTCTTGTTATTCAGTATCCACCCCTTTCGCTAAAGGATTATTCTTTACATCTTTCTACAAGTTTTGTATAAATTTTCCTCAAGCCTAAACAGGGTAACGTCACTCCTTTATCCGTTCCTCACCACAGCCGGATTAATACCCTTCCAGACACATGTCTTCCTCCCTCCACCACCCTTCCTAATCCCTTCCTGATAGCAAGTGACAATTAACTCATCTTGTTCACACTTTTGTCAATGGATTCCATGGAAACGATCCGCACCTGCTACAGACCGCATAAATTATTGTGTATACCTTTAAGAAAAAAACGTTGACACTAATTTTCTGTAGATACAGGAGATGAGCATGCATTTTGCCACTGTCATAAGATATTAATAAAATTGGATAAATCCCTGCCACCGTCATGTAATTCTGTTCTCTTCTACACAAAGTTATGATGTCAAATTTGCTCCAGGGTAAAGTTAGTTTGTTTGGTCCACGGTTGAGGTTAGGAAGTTATTGTTGAATTCAGTTAATGTGCAACCATAGAGCAATTGTGGCCAAAGTATGGGTACCATAGAACTATTCATTTCCAATCTTGTGTTATAGCTTCCAAAATTGCTCCCTTTTTAAAGGGAAAGTCCACCCCAAAAATAAGTTTGTTTCGATAGAGGCAGAATAATAAGAAAATCAGGTGAGTGAAAGTTTGAGCAAATTCTGAATGAAAATAAGAAAGTTATGAATTATTGAAGTTGTGATCAATCAAATACAAATTGGCAACTCTGTGACGTATTATACGAGCTTTCCTTCATTTGCTTTGTGCATAATATTCCATAAAATCATGTTTTCTTCGTTATTGATGACGGAATATATATTTGTTCCTTGCAGGGGGAGTATAGAAACATATTTGCAATTATTATATTTAGGGTGCATGTATGGTTGAAATTTTTCTTGAGGGAAAATGGAAATTTTAGATTTTTTTAGTACTAAGCAAATGGAAGTTGAGCTCGCATTTTACGTCATAGAGTTGCCAATTTGTGTTTGATTGATCACAACTTAAAAAATCCTAACTTCCTTATTTTTAATCGGAATTTGCTCAAACTTTCACTGACTTGTTTCTCTCATTTTTCTACTCCTATTAAAACTAACTTAATTTCAGGGTGGACTTTCCCTTTAATTGTAGACTTAAAAGACAATAGATTTAAAGCCAAGTAAAGCTTCAGATTGAAGCTCAAAATTGAGTGCATAGCTGTTTTCCCCTTTTTTCTTGCCAAGAGTGGAAAAATGACTTGCTCTAATCATGTGGGGCTTGCATAGGTTTCTAGCGTGATTCACTGTTCAAAGTTATTTCAAATGGGGTACGAATGAGGAGATATGATTCTATCAAGGTGCATGAAAAAACATGTAAGAGTGCCATGTCATTCAAAAATATTGTGACATTGTTTTTGATTTGGTAGTATCACAGCAATGCACAAAGAACATGAAAAAATGGTTCAAATACATAGTATGGAAGTATGGATATTGCTGTGAATTTTAAATACACATGCAGTGTAAACTAAGAAGATTTCTGTGTATGAACGTTTCTGATTTAGAAAATTACACTTGTGACAAAATTAATTTCTAAGGGGTAGTAGTAGCTGTCTGTCGCAAAGGGACAATGACCGCCCTCACTTTCACGCAGGCTTCTTGCAAAGGTGGGTAAGTATCAGTAGCTCTTGCAAGTTACTAACTGCACTCTCTCGGGAACTGGTGCCCCCCAAAAAGAACCAAAAAGAGAAAAGAAGAAACCTTTTCATTCTTTAAATATTCAAGTGTTACCTAACCAAACTGTTAAGGATGTTTTTCACTTCTCTATTATCTTTTAGGAGCATCAAATCAATGACAGGATTCAACTATTCTCTTTCTTATGACCTTCACAAGGGCTCACCACCGACAGGAACCTTGCACACTAGCTATTGCACACATGCCCGCCCCCCCCCCAAAAAAAAAAAAAAAAAAAAAAAACTTACCTTGGACCCCACACCTTCAAAACAATTAACAGGGATGGATTATGCATATAAAGCAGTGTTTGACATAGTGCCAAGGACGCATTGGTAACCAAAAGTCCAGACATCGCCCCCTCCCCCTCCTCCTCTCCATTCATGAATATTAACAAGGAGTTCATGCAAACAGATCCGCAATCTTTCATTCCAGACCTCCTTGCTTATTGTCCAGCCATTGCATAACAGACACGAGAATTAGAATCCAGACCCACTGTGGAAAAACATGTACCGAAGTATTGAGCCTAAAGCCCCACTGCACTAGTTTGGCCAGGAGTGATTAGACCTCCCTGCATGGTCACTGACAGGTGGTTATCGCATCAAATCAGCTCTCAATTAACATAAGAAAAAGAAGATAAAGGGGGACTGATGGTCACCGATTAGGCATCGTTTGCTTTATAGAGGGCGCAAGTAGCTATAAGTAGTGCAGTGGGGATTAAAAACCTCAAAACCACTTCAAAAGTCACACTGCCATACTGACTCAAAACCGAGAGCTAGGACATTCGCTGTTATAGACCTAATGTGTTTGGACTACTATTGGTCTGGTGTCGGTCAAGTCGATGCCATTATGGTATGACAAAAATTGGCCCTCGTCTGTCAAAAGATACGAAAAGGGATAACAAGTCTTACCCATCAGGCAGTTCGTTGGGATCCGAAGGTAGCATAGGATGAGGGTTGATGTTGCGGGAGTCGACCACCGCTCCGCTCGCCGATGACCCCACCCGGTCTCTAGACGTAAGGCTAATGACGATCTGACCGCGGATGTTGTCCCCATCCTCGGGTTTGTGCTTGCATAGATCTAACCTTTGATCTGTTGAAATAGTGAACAAAATGGAAGATAGAATAACATGTTGAGAGCTACGTTAAGCAGAACGAAGGACTTTTGTAGCTGAAGAAAATGGCTAGCTTCATTATTATTATTATACATATACTTCTGAATGTTTAATTTTCTTCTAGCATAATGAAAAGATATTTTAAACAAGGACTTTTTAATAACATCATTACTAATACTACTACCAATAATAATGAAGAATAATAGTAATCACTAATAATGTTTTTGACACAAAGAAGTACCATATTTTGAATGCATTGTCCATAAGCATACCAAAAGCTTAAAAAATTCTTGACACACCCTTAGAAACCCAGGACTCGGGGTTTGGCTTAGATAATTGGACACAACTAGCTTGATAGGCTAACGGTGCAAGATTCTTACAAACATTGTATTTGAGCCTCTGGATGGCATGGAGAGGAATCTTGACACACCTACAGAAATCTCAGAATCATATATTTTTGTTTAGCTTTGCAAGTACTGCTGTCTCATACTTGTAACTTGAGAATCAAACAGGACAGGGAACATACAGCTGGTGTTTTTGCTTCTGGGGACGACACAAGAAAGATCTTTAACCACCAAACCCTATAAACTTTTAAATTATGTCCATGGCTTAGATAGGACACCAGTTCCTTGATAGGCGGTTGGTGCAGGTTACTTACAACCAGTGTCTTTGAGTCTCTGGATGGCATGGGAAAGAACCTTGCACAGCCCAGGAAACCCCAAACTTATTAACTTATGGTTTGGCTTAGATACAGGGCACCAGTTCCTTGAGAGGCGGATAGTGCAGTTTACTTACAACCAGTGTCTTTGAGTCTCTGGATGGCATGGGAAAGAACCTTGCACAGCCCAGAGACCCAAGACTTATTAACTTATGGTTTGGCTTAAATACAGAACACCAGTTCCTTGAGAGGCAGATGGTGCAGGTTACTTACAACCAGTGTCTTTGAGTCTCTGGATGGCATGGGAAAGAATCTTGACACAGCCCAGGAAACCAGCCCCCTGCTTCTTGTGGATCTTCCGATGATTCCATACACTCAGTGTGATGCTGTCGCTCAGACTCAGGAATCTGTAGAGGTAAAAAGTAAAAGAAAGGAAAGAAAAAAAGGTCATTAGACTGAATTTTGAGAATGTACCTTTAATCTTCAAAGCTAATATTCCTTGTGCCATGGATACATATGTACGTTATTTGTATTAATCAAGTGAATTTCAAGAATCACCGTTTCCCTTAAAACACATGTTATATCAAACCTGTAGTTTTGGTCCAACAAGCGAATGAATAATCAAAGAGAACCAACTAGTACTATCTTTAACTTTAAAATTGGTCATACAAAATGCATTGTACACATGGGCGTAAATCCTTACGTAATACCTATTGTTCAGGGGGGGGGATGAATGAACAGATCATCCCTCCCTGAACAACAGGTATCAATTGCAGATTTACGCCCATGATTGTACATACATGTATTACTTATTGAATTATTGGAAAAACATCTGTAACATCATTACCATACAACAAACTTTCTAAAATTCTAGTGTATCAAGTCGGCTGGTGCAAATGTTACAACTGAGATGAAATTTTTCAGACTAAAAAAAAACTCAACCTCAATTAGTCAACAACTTTATAATAGGAATAACATACAGAGCTCAAAACACAGTTAAGAATAAAAAGCTTATTCTATTACAATCAGGCACTGCACTAAGTTTCTTCCCCCACCCCTCCCCTCCCCTCCCCCGAAAAAAGGATAAGGGTAATTATATAGTCACGTGGAGAGTTTCATTTGTGATCTGGAAACACCATTATTTGGAGAGAAAAAAAATCAATGCATTGCCCACGAACACACATGTATCCATTCTTAAAGCATGAATGAACAAGAGGCTACTTTGCACAGCACTAACTGAAGCCAAAGATTGACAAAGGGCTTGGGGGAAAAATCACAGACAAAAAGCAGAAATGAAGGCAGTGTTCTATTTCCAGCGTTAGATGCGTTTGCCAGCGCCACTTGCCGGCCTCATTACGCTAGCCTTGTCCCCATAACTGGCAGTCTCTCGCTGTCACACACAATTTCACACCATCGCCGTCATCTGACTCCCTCCGTATGGGTGATTTCAATAAAATATGGGGGTTTGTGGGAGACGGAATGAGAAAAGCAGATCGACAGACAGACAGACCAACTGAACAGAGACACTGAGACAAACACAACATAAAACTGAACAAACTGTAGTCCTATAGGTACATGGATGTAGTACGACAGGTGAGAGTGGGAGGGTGAGAGTGGGAGGGGGAGGGGGAGGGGGAGGGGGAGAGAGGGAGTGGGAGAGGGAGAGAGGGAGTGGGAGAGGGGGAGAGAGGTGGAAAGAAAGATTCAAACATATGTAAGAGAGTAGACATCATGTACTTAGAGATGTCTTGGAAAAGGGATAAAGACAAAATAAAACAATAAAATCCCATAAAAGATATTGATGGAAAATAAAAATTAGTTAGGAAAGAGAAAGATGAAAGCAAAAGAAATAGAAAGAGAGAATAAGGGAGAGAAGGAATGAGAGTGAAGGGGAAAAAGTGTGAAAGAGAGAGAGAGAGAGAGAGAGAGAGGGGGAGAGGGAGGGAGAGAAAGAGCAAGAGCAAGAGAGAGAGAGACAGCGAGAGCAAAAGAGAGAGAGAGAGAGAGAGAGAGAGAGAGCATGAGATTAGAAATGCACAGTGGCAGCCCCATGCAGTCAGTTCTGTGATTGACCGTTGAGTGACCTCTTCCGACTTGATTGTGTCTAGCACCTCACAGTAACAAAATATGACGAGTCGCTCCAATGAAATATAATTCAATTTAAAAGCTTGACCTGCAGAAAGGCAAAGGAAACTTCCTACTGTACTCTCCAACGTTGGCAAATCCAGATGTTAAGGAAAAAAAATGGCATTAAATCCGATTTAGTAAGTGTCAAGTTGGAAAACCTACAATTGATTGATTCACTTGGGTGTGGTAAAGGGATCCTAAAATTACAAAAAGAATTAAATATTTGGATAGATGATATCTCTATTGATTTGTGAATAAGATACAAATTTCATTTCATTCTGTGCCATAAAAACATATTACACTATAAACAGATAACTACTAGGCGACAGTCTGGTAAAATGTTATGTACAAACATGTAGCCTTATAATGTACCTGTACATAATATTCCATTTCAAAATCAATAGGATTATATTTCCAATACAATATGTATAATAATAATTAATGGGTTCTTGTATAGCACCAATATCTGTTAGACTAGACAGTCCTGGCGCTCCCCGAATCAGATTAAAGCTCAATCTAAAAACATCCTTACACCCCTTCCCCTGCCCCCACAAATTAATGGGGTATCAATTGCACTTGAATATATATCGCAATAAAGCAAATTCTATTAAGAAGCAGCGAGACAACCTAAACATACAAAAATCACTGGGAAATCTGGAAGAGAAACCACCTTAAAATATGTCTAGTGAGAAAATTAAGCATTTATTATGTTTTGTGAATAGTGGAATAAATGTCACTGCACTTCATCTTCGATTTCATTTTGGTTTCCGGTTCATCGGGACTGTGCCATGGACCAGTGATGGCCTGGTGGTAGAGTCACTGCCCGGCAAGCAGCAGATGGCAGATTCAAATCAAGAATTTCTTGTAATAATTTTTGTTTATGTGTAAAGTGTATTTGGTTAGTTACCAAGAAACATTTTGTTCATACTTTCTGTTAGAATATCTGTAATAGCTTTGTTTATCTTTCTGTTGGAAATGAAATAAATATGAATTGAATTGAATTGAATTGAAAAATCCCATTTTTCCTGACTTCTTTTTAAGTCCAAGATCAAGCACACTATCTCTATTCACTTGGTGCACGCCAGCATTTCTTTACAAATTGAAATCACTCCTGGGAACCCTACCATTCTAGTTTCATAATTCACAAAATTGCAGCTCTATCGGAGTCTGATCCAAACCCAACATCAAATTTCCTTTTGATCATAGGGTCCATGTACAACATGGATATGAAAATGTGACATAATGTATTCATGCGCTAGCCAGACCAATGATTCACTCCTAGGTGCATGCAGAGTTCATTGACCAATAAATCCCAATTTCCATGTAATTTATGATTCATTTTGGAGTACATACAGCATGTTGCAGTCACTGGCACTGCAGACTACATGTGTACATCATGTAGTCGTCTAAGGAGAATCAGTAGGGCATTCAACTCATATCGCTTTACATAGCAGGGGTGATAGTGAGCACTAAAAAAAAAAAATAGGTTTTTTTGTTTTCCCCTCAACCACGCCCCCCTTGAGTAAAAAAAAAAAAAGAGGATTCGCGGGGAAAAATTGGCATCTACATGTAACAACATTCCCCCATTTCGAGTAAAAAAATTGGGCAAAAATAGGGCAAAATAGGGCAAAATAGGGAAGAATAGAGAAAATAAGAGGGAAATCAGGAAAATCAGGATCAAATAGGGAAGAAAAAAAATGGGTAAAAAAAAAAAAAAAACAGGATTTTTTTTTTTTTTAATCGGGAAGAAAAAAAAAATTGGGAAAAATAAAAAAAATTGGGAAACCGATTTAAATCGGGTTTTTATCAGGCCTGCCTGACATAGAGTAATGCCCTTCTTGCTCTAAACAGATACAGTATAATGTACATGTAGCTTTTCAAAGTTTCATGACCCGTCTTGAATTAGGATTGGAATTAGGATACCTACTTACCCTTTTTATCCTAGAATCGGGTAGCTACAAAACTACATACATACAATGTACAATTTAAAGCTTATCTCTACTAGTTTGGCAAGGAGGGATTAGACCACACAGTGAGGTCACTGACAGGTGGCTATCTCATTAACTCAGCTCTCAAATAATATAAGAAATAGAGGATCATGGGGGACCAACAGGCACCGATTGGGGAAGTTTTCTATATAGAGGGAGCAAGTAGGGAGGAAGTAGGACAGTGGGGCTTTATTAAGGGACTTGTACAGGACTGTGCGAAATGGGGAAAGAGGGGGGGGGTGTAAATATTTGGGTAGCATTTCATGAAACAAGTACAAGTTCGCAGACAACCCGTTGAAACAAGTGTATTCAATTCAACACATGTTTCTAAGGAAGGTCGGTAAACTTGTACTTACGATGGTTTCGTGATACGATGCCTAGGGTATGTATCCATTATATAAATTCCTTTCAGGTCAATATAAATAAAGATCGTTTTAACAAAAAAGAGAAAGAAATGCCGATTTAGTACATAAAAATTCCTGAATTCATCATCAAATTATCTAGTAGTCAGTAGAGGCAATTGCAATTTGCAGTAAACAAATAATATTATTATTATTAATATTGTATGGTCTGTTGATTTATATTATCTAGCTCATATATTTATCATACTCAAATCTTTGCAACCCTGTCCATTTTTGCCCCTTTTGCTTAGTAAATATTGCATGAATTATCTTGCTACTTGAAATCATGACCTTGATGACTTTTCTTTCTATCCTAACCTTTCTCCTCTCTTTTTCTCTTTTTTTCTCCTTCTCCTTCTCTTTCTCTCTCTCTCTCTCTCTCTTTCTCTCTCCCCCTCTCTCCATGCATGCGTACAAATATAATTTTAACTTGTTCTTCATATCCCTTTATTTCTTGTAAGTTTTGCTCTTTCTCTGTCTCTCTCTCTCTCTCCCTATCTCTCTCTCTTTATCTCTTCTCCACAGTTTCCATTTGATTTGCACACCATCACAGACTACATGAGCTTCCACCACAGTCCAGCCTCTCAGCCTCTATGCTGTCTGCCTAATAGACACAGTGTCCAGTCTCCTAATTTATCCACAACCAAAATTGTCCCCCAACTTCCTCCATTGATTTTTCTAATGGCCCAATATGTTTTTACGACTATCTTTTCTCGGCATCGACCCTAAAGTTACACATCGTCTTGGAGAAAAAAATTGTCTAGACTTGAGGCGAGGTTGCCAACTTCCCTGCAGCCTTATTCAAGGCTTTTAAGTGATTTTATTGTTAGTTTGTAATCCCAATTAAAACGTCACTCCAAGTGAGGACACATTGCTTTTGGATTTTTAGCT